CCCGCCGCTCTCTTTTTTTTTTTATTTAACTTTATTTATTTTATTTATTCATTTGTTTATTTTAATTTGATCAGAGAGAGAGAGACAGACAGAGAGAGAGAGAGGGAAAGTGAGAAAGCAAGCTACCAGGTCCAGGACTAGAACCATGGTCAGCCATGTGGGAGTGTCCAGCACCTTAACCACCATGCCACCTGCTGGCCCGCCACTCTTACCAAGAGCATTAACGTGCATCTCTGAATGAGTAAAGCCCCCGTGTGCCGTTCAAGGAGCTCGAGATTCAAAACTAAAGTTTAAATGAAAGACTGGGGGCCTAGCTGGGTGCTGAGCTGGTCCTATAAGTCATGTGGGGTAAGAGTTGGGCCCAGTGAGGTTCCCACAAGGAGCTAAGGCCCACAGCAGCCTGGGTCGCACGTGGCCAGCAGCCCAGTCCCCCAGAGGACTTCAGGACGAGCATAAGCAGGTTGAAAGCAGTGACCAGCCACCTTCCCCTCCAGACTCTGCCTACCCACCCTGCTCCCCGCACCAGGGCGAGTCCTGGGGATGCGGGCGATGGGGACGGACATTGTGATCCCAAAGATCCAGAAGTCAAAGGAAAAGGAACAAAAAGCCCTCGGACTCCCCTAAAAATAGGCTCTCTTTCCAGTTAGCTCTCCCGGGACACAGTCCGATCACACCCCCAGCAGGTGACGGCCACGGCTACCTTCCTGCAGCCCCCGACGCCCACGTGGAGAGAAAAGCTGAAGCCAGCGGGCTCCAAGAGTTTGCGGTTTTAAAACAGGGAATAAAATAAATCCTGCAAGTTTGAATAAAACCAGCCAGGAGCATCTTCCACCCCTTGGAAGCCACCGGCTGCTGGCTCACAGAAACATCCCAGGTTTCTGACTCAGGTCTGGGGTGGAGCCTGAGAATTTCCATCTCCTGACAGTTCCCAAGCCAAGGGATGCTGCCTGCTGGCTCAGGGGCCACCCTGTGAGAACCACAGCTCTAGAACAGTCTCCCACTAGTGTTGTGAGTGTTGCCTGCCTGGACTGTACGCAAGCACCCCTACACACACACACACAGCACTGGGAAGGCCACTGGCCCTCAAACAGCCAGGCCTGCCCAGCCAACTAGAGACTGAGCTCTCGGAGGAGGGGAGTCTGGCCCTAGGAAAGCTGCCCCACTCGAGTCCTGCACGAGCCTGTCACTTCAAGGGGCTCTGAAGTTACACTGGGCACCCTGAAATCCCAAGGGGCTGCATGTCCCATCCTGAGAGCAACCTCGCCCTGCTGGCCCTCACGTGTAGGCAACTAGCAGCTGCAAAGACCCCCTACCGCCCAGGGGTGCCTTCAAGGTCGGAATCAGAAGCAGCAGCTCAAAGAGGAAGAAAAAAAGCCAGTCCAGTGCATCCCTGGTAAGGAGCGGGTCCCTGAGTGCGGGGCCTGTCACCCCAGCACTGGCAACCCCCCGAGCTTCCCACTCACCGAAGTAATCAGCCTTGGGGTGGGCGTCCATCTCTTGCTCCAGACGCTGGGTGAGAGCTTCTAGTTTTAACTCGGCGGCCGAGGGGCCGAGCTCAGGGCCCGGGACGAGGGTCTGGCAGGGTAGCCTCACCTTGGGCGAGCTGGGGCTCTCTGGGAGCACAGTGACCAGGCTGCCATCAGGGGACCAGCCCGGGGGGCCCTCTTTACGAGCCACCTCAGGCAGGGCAGACACCGCTGGCTGGACAAGGCCGGTGGGGCTGAGCTTGGGGCCAGTGCTAAGGTCGGCGAGGCTCGGCTTAGGCCCCAGCCCTGGGACAGCAGCCAGCTGTGAGCTGTCCACACCACCCAGCGAGGATGACGGCACAGAGCCAGAAAGGTGGGATTTGGGCCCATCCTGGAACCAGGGCTGAGGGTCCGCAGTGGGTGTGGACGTCAGATCTGCTCTTGGAAGTGCGCCCTGGCTGGGGTTGCTCAGGGCCGAGGGCGATGGGACAGAGAGGGGCCTAAGCGGGGTGGGCCCTGTGGCTGAGGTCCCATTCCCCAGGCTCAGAGAAGGCTGGCCAGGGCTCACCCGCTGGGAGGACGCAGTAGACCAAAGGCCTGCAGGCTTCTCACTCCTGCGGCCACCAGCACTGCCATCCTGGCCACCAAGGCCACTCTCGAAAGGCCTGCCGGAGCTCAAGGACAGCTGCGGCTGGTTCAGCGGACGGTTCTCACAGGGCTTGGGCCTTGGCTCACCCCCAGGGGGACCAGGCCATCCGCTCCCTACACTGAGGCCCATGCCGGGGGACACTCCTGGTGCGTCGTCCCACTTTGGGCTTGGCAAGGACAAGTTGTCGTAATAGTCTCCATGCGTGAGGCAGGAAGGGTCCTCACAGGGGCCTGGCTGGTGAGCGGTGGACAGCTGGGAGCCACAGTCCTGGCCGCCCTGCCTTGTGCCCTGGCCATAAGGCCTGGCCCTGGGCTCCTGCAGCGGGTAGCTGAGCTGCCCGGCAGCGAGGGTGGTGGCTGCCCCAGGTGCCACTGCCGGGGCAGCGAGCGGGGGCTTAGCAGCGCCGTCCCCCACCAGCCTGCTGCCCACTCCAGCCTCCCAGGGGGGCTGCGGGCCCAGGCGGCCGGCTCCATTGACAGGGCCTCTGCTGCCCCTGGGCAGCGTGTCCTCCTGCAGGAGCTGCTGCTGCTGGAGGTGGATCTTGGCCATCTTGGTGGCGAATACGCGGCGCGTCTCCTCAAACTCGGGGTTGTTGCCCGCACCCCTGTCCACGCGGAAGAGCCCGTCCTTGGAGGCCTCGTACATGTTCAGGTCCTCGATGAACTTACTGGCCTCCAGGCCCAGGTCGGCGTACTTCTCCATGGTGCCGAGGAGGGGCAGAGCAGGCGCCCCGCGCGGGAAGGCCGGCACTCAGGTCCAGCCGGGGACAGGGACACGCCGCCACCCGGCCGGCCGAGCGGTCATG